TTTCCCAATCGTATGATGAATACCAAATTTCTTTGAAACTTAGCTCATCGTACATACGTCACAACATCTCTTGATCGGTGTATTGATTCTATTCTTTGTCTACTCTTGAAGTTATCCGATGGTTTGATATTATGATATTATAGCTTACAATAGCTTAATTACGTAGTCCTCCATAGCAAGAGCAGCCAACAAGGTAAGATGATCCTGTTTATGAGGAACATCGATAATTTTTAGTACCATAAGCCATATTTTAAATAATCACTAATATAATAACGCTTCGTCCATCTTTATGAATGAATATGGATAACAAATAAGGAAGATATAATAAGGAAAGTCTACCCACGTTTGAATTAATATAAAATAAAAAATCTATTAGTTGCGAGAACCTTATCCGAGAACAAAGACAATGTAATGACGTTACACGAAACGGTGGTAGATTAAAAAAAATGACTGTCGATAGATGAAAATGTATGTTTCTTATGTCGATGAATAAATGATTTTGATTTTTTTGTAAATAACAAATTTTGCTTGCAGCTGTTTTCTTTAACTAATTTAAAATTGAAATCCTTTTAACATTGTTGTCATCGACAACCATCTCGTTTATTGAAGTTGCTTTGACGTAAATAATTTATTCTCTTTCGATATTCAGATAAATTCAAGGATAAGTCGGAGAAATGACGACAATAGTGCAATTTGCTCGCAGACCCAGAAAATTGACAAACGGTGATTTAATAATTCTTATTGTGGGTAAAATAACAATCTGTGATTGTACCATCTTGCATAAAATTTTTTTTAATGATCATAACTTTATCTTTTTCAGCGTGAATTTAAACTGTAATATTCTACCATTCTAATTAAATCACCCGTAGACATTTGAAACTGTAATAGCATAAAGACCTGTGATTCTACAAAATTTGTATTGAGTAACGAAATCATGGAATCGGTGATTAGTGTAGCTATAACATGCATCCGATTAAAATTTCAATACAACCATTAGCTTCTCGTATATGCAAACATTTTGTAAAGTAAACTCCGTCGCATATATATCGAATCGCGTATATTTTAAATTAATACTTACGCCCGGTTTCTGAAACACTGATCATCGTAGAAGTTAACTAATCAGCTGTTACATGGAATAAAACTCTCTGAATTGATCCGAATGATCTTCTTAATGATCATTCTGATATTTTTTTTATTTATTTAATCCAGTAATAAAGTACAATAACATAAATTATTCTCTGCCAAACTGTGATGCAGTTTGTCGGCAGCAGTTCTCGTGAATAGTTACATCGATGTACTTCAACCTTACTAATATGACACCTATGTATAATATCTATATATGTAAATAATCAATTTCTTAATTATAAGTACCTATAATATACAAGTTTATCAATTTATAGTATGTTAGAATAAAATAAAATAAATATCAATTTACTTGGTTGCGTGTGTGTGTGTGTGTGTGTGTGTGTTTGTTTTGCGTGTATGTACGTGTGTGTGTACTTGCGTGGATTCAAAGAGTGTAACCATCCTTTTGGCAACACAAATGACATTTGACTTTTCAAATTATTCAGCTGATTAGTTAATTTCTACGATGATGAGTGTTTCAGAAACCGGGCGTCAGTGTCCAAATAATGGAAAATGGAGACGCGATTTCTTAATAGCCTCGACATGCTTCACGTAAGTTTTCTTCGAGAATTCTATACGAGACAAGGCCACCGTGTCGATGCCTCGCATCACATCAGCCTTGCAAATGTCTCCCACGTGACCATCTGTAGTAGAATGGTTATTTGAAACCGGCGTCTTGGTGTATCGTGTTTCTATTACTTTTCTCTTTATCATTCGAGAAATAAACGTTGCCATGAAACGATTTTAAACTTTCTATAATATTATCACCGGTTACGCATGTAGCATATTTATATCGGTCAACGATTCACTGTATAAAAACGTGAGGAACTTTATTAGAATATTATATTAAAAAAATAGAAGTACATACATCAGGTATGTACATTATTTACTAGTAAAACTATAGAAGTGTCTTTATAACTAAAGGAGTTGTTGTTGTTGTGTTGTTTGGAGATATCATCGGTTTCCTTTTTTGCATTTCAGCGTTTGGAATTAAATTATTTTTATCAATCTGTTTGCTTATAATTTATATTTTATGTTTTAACATATTTTACGTTGAATCCTAAAAGTGAATGTGATATTATAATATAACGTAAATATAACGTAACATGTCATATTTACATGGTAGCTGGACATTTATACTAAAGCATAAACTTTATGTACAAACATCAGTATCATGTAAACTACTATCCTCTTTTTCCAGTTATAAGTACTTCCTAGTACGTTTCCTCATTCAATTTGAACAATTAACACAACAACCAACCGTAGTCAGTTAAGAAATAACATTACAAGTTAATTAAAGTTTCGTGTCTCTTCCCGCCTTAGTGTATTAAGAAACAATATCGAATTAAACATTTTTGTATGTAATTGATTTTTATTTCCAATTGATTATATGTATTAGTTGTTGGATATAAACATACAATCTCTTTACCTCTTGTTGAAATGTAAATTCCATGTTATTCAGTATACATAAATTTATTTAAATATCAGCTATCATCATAAGATGTCTTTCCAAATTTATCACCTTTTATTTTTATCAGAATGACCTCTCTATCTTTGTGTGTACTACATGTAAAGTTTGGAATAATGATGAATAGAATAATATGTTCATTAGTAGTACGAAAACTTTCTGCATAGTTTGCTTTCTAGATTTTAATGTACTTTCTTATTCTATAGTATTCCGATTCATAGTATTCTGAATCCAGTTCTCATTCGACTAGCTTGTTAGCATTTAGCTTACCCATAATAATTGAATCGAAATTCTGAAAATCCTGCAAAAGTCGGTGTTATACCAATTTCATACACCTGAATTTCAGGACGGAAGCGACGACGGAGGAAGATACGCGAACGCTAGCAGATTAAAACAGAGCACGCAGTGAAAATCACATCCTTCAAAGTCATAGATCTGTCCGCAGTTGTATGGAAATCGCGGGAGGAAGGAAAATTCAGCAACGGCAAGTTGCTCACTAGTTTCTAGGCCACCGTTTCCTCCGCCGGCTTTTCATGGTCACGCGACGTTACGGCCAGCGGAACTTGACCCCGCGACTAGTACCGCACCGGCTGCTTTGCATTTGGAACGCCTTTAGACTGGGATGCGCGGCAGGTCTGAACGGATTGGCTTCATTTCCACATAGTACGTTATTGGCCTAACAAAAACGTTTCCGCGAAGCATCTCTGACGAATATCTTTACACAACTCATTTGCACTCGACCGGCCGCCGCGGTCGCAACGTCTTATTTAAAGAGCCTATTTCGAGCGTAAACATAACTTCGACGGTTTTTTTTTGTTGTATCGTTACGTCAATCTCTGTCGACGATAGACCCGGTAGTTTTTGTTTTCGTTTTCTTATTAAACTATTGGCGTGTTTAATTAATTAAATTCTACAGTTCTGAAGGGGTTCGTTTTTCTTTGTTATCAGTATAATGTGTGTATGTAGGGGGTTGGGTATGAAATCCCAACGACCTCTATAAAGTAATGAATTGAATGTTTGGCCAAATAGTAATCAAATATGTAATGCTTTTTTTACGTAATTTTAAGCGTGGGAACTAGTTTTTTTAACATTATTATTAAACGTCTTAATATCAAATGTCTCTACACTTAGTAAGCGGGTTTTTAACAAAAATAAAGATTTCAAAATTTCCAATATTTACTCGAATAAAACTACTCTTATATATTATGTTTTTTTTTTACTACTGATACTGATTTTACCGACATAATGTATGTTTCATTCGGTAGTCATTTTAATTTCACCTGCCGCAGGTTTGATACTTAATTTAAAATTTTACAGAACTTATAGAAATTTAACGTTCAATTGAACACTATCGATACTCGTACTAGAAGTAGATTTGCACACACCGGTCCTCTAAGATGATAAGTGGAAACGGCAATTTTGAGAGAGAATTGGATGTTTAGTCAACCGAGATCGAGGTGATGATATCAATCCTATCGATAAACGTTTAAGTTGATACAGGGAATTATTAAAGCACTATATTTTATTTATTGTTATTAATATATATATATATATATATATATATATATATATATTAATAACAATAAATAAAATTTCTAAACTAAAAGTAGCCTAAGTTACTCCTTATTACATCAGCTTATTGCATCTGCCAGTGAAAGTCCCGTCCAAATCGGTCCAGCCGGAACAAACAGACAGACAGACAGACAAATATTGTAAAAAATGTCATTTTTTATATGTGTATACCGTGTATACATCCATATGCATTTAGTGAAAAGCGGTTATTTTAATATTACAAACAGATACTCCAATTTTATTTATCTGTATGTATAGATTTGCTTTTGTTCTTCTATGTTTCTATGTAGAAGTAATGGATTAATTTAAATAGATCCGAGCAGATTTTATGTGAGTAGGTGATAGCGAGCTGGCGGTTCGACTGATGTTAAATGATCTCCGCCACCCGTTGATATTTGCAACACCCGTATGGTTGCACATGGGCTGCCACAATTTAATAATGTGAGCTCCGGCTACCTCAAACACCAGACGAAACGCAGAAGTACGCACTTCCACTTTACGCCGGGCTTCTGTGAGGTCGTGGCACTTCCTCGAGTGGACCTGCCCATTCATGCAACATTTGAGACTGTTGCGTGGTCCCACGACAGTAATAATAAAGTTAAGTTAAAAGAGAATTTTAAGATATCTCTAACAAAGGAAACAAAGTGCAATATTGACATTATTTTTTTATCAAATGTTTTGTGTAGTAACATAAAGCAATATGTAATATTGCCGTAAAATAATAGGTGCAAAATTAATGAAACAATTTTTGAATCATTTATTTTTAAAAGATTGATTATCTTTTGCGGGTTATTGTTTAGTTTCGATACTAATAAAATTTTAAAACCAATTTCAGATCACCGGTGCTCTGACTTCGACGGCGCAGGCAGTACGAAGATGAAGCGGATTAGTTACTCTTTTGTTCCGTAATATGTAGATAGATATGGAAGATTATAAATTAGGTTTTTAAATTGGCTACCTTATATTTAAACAATTAGTGCATACCTCTTGTTTCTGGTGTAGTCGTACATAAAATAATTAAAAGAACTGTTTTTTATGAGAATTTCTTTTATATCCGATAACTAATCGATATTGCCAGTAATTATACATATCGAACATAATATTTCTACGTTATCTCATGTGTGAACTATGAACTATTACAAAATAATGTTTTAGTTTTAACAGTTGGTAGTAAAATATTGTATGATAACACTGATCGCCATTTAAAACTGTGTAGCTATACACTTATTGACATGAAAACGCTTCTTCGAGGGGTTGGGATGATGCTGGACTCTATGTCCAGCATCATCCCAACCCTCTGGTGGTAAGCGCAGCAAACTACCAACCGGACACTAACGCGAACGTAAACAAGCGTCGCCCGCGAAACGTCCTCATCGACCCGATCGACGAAGAGGACTTAGATACGATGGACCCACCGCCGGGGGTCCCGCCGCATTACACTACATCCCCAGAGTTAGTGTAACAACAATCACACCAGTTCGCCCTCGCCTCCGAGCACGGCGAGACCCACACAACGCGTACACAAGGTACACCCGCGTTCCGGGGCGGTTTAAACGCACGCATGAGCACATGCGCGACCCTACCCATAGCGGAGGGTCGCAAACCCGTGGGTTCTGGCTAGCCCACCGGTTCTGCGTCCGATGAAGCTTTAATAGTCTCGGGACTGAAAGCAAAAACATCAGTTAATACAAGATACAAGATACATGAAAACGCCTATTTATATACCATTAAATGTCGCATTATTTTTAATACCAGTCCATTTGACCTTCAATTTGTTCTTTATGTTTTAAGTCTGTTTCTTCTTGCTTTGGTAAATGCTTAAGATGTGAATCTATCGTCCAATATTTCATGAAGATCTGCAACGAAATCAAAGAAGAAAAGTGCAGAAGACATAAAAGCTGTCAAAGAATCGAAGAAAGATTGGCTAATTATCTTTGGTTATCTAGCTGTATGAGTATTAAGACATCATAAAGCTAGGTTACCGGAGTTAAGTGCCGTCTATTACTACGCGACGGTCGATCGGCGCTAGCGACGTCTTAATTTCATCAACGCCGAAGCAACTGTTTTTTTATGATCTCCTGGTACTATCGAAGAAGAACAGTGATGTCATTGCAACATTTATTGTTTTTCGTTCATAATCGTATTTAGTGTTTATTCAGTTTTTATATTTTTTTATAACATGAAGGTATTGACAATGTTTGTATTGATTACATTTCCATAATTCTTTGGTACCAAAATTTTTAAATAATCACGTCTTGTGTATTGTATATCTTTATTATGAGTTCACAGCTTCCTTAAAGTAATTTTAAGTTTAATTATTTCTGGAAAGTATTAAACTAAATAGAATAGGAATAGTGATAGACCTGTCGTGGTTGACACTTTCAGGCACTGATGGTATTTATTCTGTGTAATCTATATTATAATGGAAATGTTATGTTTATTTTTTCCTAATTTCAAGTTTCAGATAATATTTGTCGTTAAAATTATGTTTTATAAAGTTTGTATTATTTTCCCGTGTGTCTTATACAGATAATATTTTTGTTAACAATTAATTAAATCAATAACCTCAGAGGATACGGCTCTGAAGATTTTTTTACTTAAAAAAATCGTGTGAGCCGTAACCAAGAAAATGACAAACATTAATTTGTTACTTAAAAGACATAAAATAGCATTATTTACATTCGTCATTTGACTTTTTTTTGTTTTAAATAAAAGTAAGAATATCATCAGTACACAGTCCCATTATTCCAGGGTTGACCATAGGTTGTAGTCGTTAAACAAGATATGCAAAGAGATCGACTTATCCTTGGGCAATTAATTCGAAGCAAAAAATTTAACCAGACTAAAGCTGCTGCCACATTAATGCATAAGCAGGCTTATGTGACAATTGGCTTCTCTTACGAGAAGGCGCCAAATTAGGTGGCTTATTTGTAAGAAGGATTCCGTACCATTATCTATGAAAACGGCATAAAATCATGTCTGTTGTACGGGAGCCCCACTTAAGTAATTTTTTATTCTGTTTTTTAGTATTTGTTGTTTATAACGGCAATAGAAATGCACCATCTGTGAAATTTTAAAATGTCTAACTATCACGGTTCATGAGACACAGCCTGGTGATAGACGGAAAGACAGACAGACAGCGGCGTCTTAGTAATAAGGTTCCGTTTTACCCTATGGGTACGGAATCCTAAAAAGGCCACCCAAGGACATGTGTGACACCTACAGGGTTTCAGTTGAGTTTCCAACCTGTAACAGTCTAGCCTTGTTACCGGGCTCACCAAATTACGCAAAAGCATAAACACTTACAATAAATTGCTCTCCCGTTTGTGTTTCTTGAGCGGAGACCGCAAATCGATTATCTAAATGTTCGACAACCTGCCACACGATGTAGCAAATACATAGGTCATGAAAGTTGTAACTGAATCTGGAATGCAGATGAAATGTTGAATTGAATATATATGCGATGACCCGATTGGCGTAGCGGATAGTGGACCTGTTTTTCTACTCCACTACGGGAAAAATTTTTGTGTCAAGAACGTAATGTTTTCCTATTGTTTGTGTGCTTTTATAAAAATATCATGTATTTGTTTATCAAATAAAAGTTATCAATTACCTTATATCCACAGCTTTGGTTAGTTTGGGACTAGATATCGTTGTTGTTAAAAATGTTAAGTCCTTAAGTTTGTTATTATTTGTTAATAATATAATTTGTGTATTATATATTTTGTTAAAATATACGAATAGAAATAAATTAAAGCGTAATGAGTTTGCTCAATTCAATATTTAGAATGGGATTTGATTTTTAAATACTTATATTTCGTAAATGGCATAAAATATGAATGGTGTAAGTATAAATCGAAGCGGACAACAAAAGCAGGTGAGCCGTATGCGCATTAAAAAATAAATTAACCGAGACAGCCGTTGAACAACGTGTTTTGTTGTTTAAATATTTATGAGCGTGTACAGTCGCCGACGTTTCCAGTTAGGCGGTCATTTGTGGGAACCGCGCGGGACCGGGGCGCGTGACTTGTTTCGCTTTAGCGCTGCGGAGCTTATCCGCCGTTGCACACCAAATTATTCATATCAAAATACAATTCTGAGCGTGACAGTCCTATATATTCCAGTTACAAGTCGTTCTGTCTACTTAACGCTGATATAGTGCAGACATAGCATTAAATAAAAGTCGCAGCTTACATGATGAACAGCTTTATGTGAGTTAGAAGGCATTGCCGTTATTTTGATGTGCTACGCGACATCTAATATGCAATTATATCTCGTACGTGTATTTAAGTCAATCGAGTTTCTTTTAAAAGAAACGAGGGACCTTTATACATATCGTTCCATAGAATATGTCTTTTATAATTTTTTAAGAGTCAATTCAAAGAGAATTTACTTTATTGTCATTTAAGCAACAATAAAAATCGAAAATATAATAAAAACGTAGTTATTGCTATCTGTGAATAATATTTGTAAATAATAATTATAAACAAAATATATATTTATAAACACTATTTAATATGACCCGATATGTTTCTATGCTATAGGTTGCCTGGCAAAAAATAAGGCCCTTCGTGCATGAGTCCGACTCGCACTTGGCTAGTTTTTTTGTACTTTAAGTTTAATCAACTCATAATAATATAAGCTTCCTTTCTTCATTGAAGCTGACGTTTCTTATTATTACATTTTTAAGTTTATATTCTGTTTGCCTTGAAAAATCGCACATGTATATTTTTATAGTACGTGAAAAACCTTAAAAGGGTCAATGATATATTAATTATGACAAGGCTCTTTTTTTGATACAATTGTTTCAAAACATTACTCGCCAAACTGAGAATACACTTTATTTTAATTTGTTAAGTTAAAATATTTAATCCCCTGTTCAATATTTGATATTGTTTTAATTTTTCGGTAGCTATAGTCTTTTCTGGATTGACAGTGAGAAAAAACTATCTAATTGGTTGAATTACGTTGTATTCTAGGCCATTAAGATCTGTGCACTTTTTTTTAAATAAAAAGTCGTCTCACTCTTTATTTTCCATTCTCTAGCCCATAACATATTTACAAACCATATAATTTTGATTGCAGCATTTAATTACAATTTAAGGAATAAATATTATATTATCTCGAGTCATTAATAAAGCCCGCTAATAAATTAATTAAACCTCTCTTCATTCCGACAAACAAAGCGATGGCTCATTTTAACAAATGAAAAGTTCATTAATTTATTTTATCTTTGTATTTTCCCCGCCATAAAGAGCGTTCGTTTTCTAGTTATTAATTCTAAATTAATCAGAAGCTTTTATCAAAGAGGATATTAGGTTTACCTTTTATTCTTTTTATAAGAAAAAACTCGCAATAGGTAGTAAATGCTATCGCGGAAGGTTTCGCAAACATGAAAATACAGAGACATAAAACACGGACTCGAAACAGCAATCTACGGAGCACAAATTGGGAAGCCAAGAGGGAGTCGTTTCCACACCACGGTGAGCAAGGACTCGAAACAGCAATCTACGGAGCACAAATTGGGAAGTCGAGAGGGAGTCGTTTCCACACCACGGTGAGCAATAATAGATGGCAAGATGATCACCTAAACGTCATTCGTGCATTAAACAAACTGTAATAAGTTTCAAATAAGATCAATGAACTCGTATGTGGGCTTGTAAAAAAAATTAATGTTCCACTTTTAAAACTATGAAACTAAATGATTTTTTTTGCTAATTTTTATTGTTTTATGTCAAATAAATCTCTTTCTTTCTTTCTTTCTTTAAATTTAAGAATTATTTTAAGAACTGCCTAACTGGTTTGAATTGACAGCTATTACGCCATATGATGGTGTTAGGACAGGCCA